GCATACTCCAACACACGTCAGTTACGATTGTGTACACTCCAACGTAGATTCGCTAATGCTTGTACACGCTCCTATGCAAATCCGCGAGCGACTTTACGGAACTCTCATACACATCCGCTACGGACTACATCTACTCCTATACAGACCTATGACGTACTGTATGGGACCCCGTACAAATCGGCCACGGACTGTAAAAATACCGCTACACATCCGCTACTCACTGCATAGAAGCCGGCACCGATCCGCTACGGACTGAGAAGGATCCGATACACACCCATTACGGATTGCATGAAATCCTATACACATCCGCTGTGGACGGTCGAGCTGTACAAGATCCTATACACATCCTCTACCTACTGTAATAACACCTACGCCTATCCACGATTGACAATATAGAACCCGATACCGATCCGCCACGGACAATGCGGGATCCGAAACAGATCCGTTACGGTTTCTATGGGCTCCTGTACAAACCCAACACGAACTGCATGGGAACCCACACAAATCCGCCACGCACATCAGAAACTCCGATACACACCCGCCACGGAAGAGCGCACAAAGATCCGCCACGGACTGAATATGATCCGATGAAAGATCCGCTGCTGCATGGGATCCTGTACGCAATGCGAATGCGAATGCAAATGCGTGTGCGCCCGGCCGGGGTCGGCCTACCCACGATAGGTGGAGCGCGTGGGCCGCAGCCCTCACCTGACCTTGTACTTCGTGGAAACCTCCTCCAAATCGCCCCAGTTTCCTGAACATCCAAGCACGTTTCTTGAATACATGCGTCCGTAAGGAAATTGTGACTATCGTCCGCCCAACTGCTGTTGGGTCTACCTCGCGATCGGATCCAACTCCGCTTTGCCGTGCGCTGCGGTTCTCACTCAACAACACGTGCCCACCGTTCCCTCCCCAATTATCGCAAACATGCTGCCCACTTCTATTTCGTCCTTCGCTGCGAGACCGTCCACCAATAGAACTGCAAATGCTCCACTGTCGCCTCGGCTGCTCGCGTTGCCCGCTTGATCAAATCAACCTGCAGTTCTAACGATCCATCTGCTGCGCGATCAGCCCAGGTTCGTCGCCCCCGGCGTCCAAGGATGAGCCGCAACATGCGTCTCTGACATTTCCGCGGTCTCTTCTCCATGTATGCTGTCATCGTCCGAATTGCTGCGCCGTACAATACTGTGGTTTTCACGACTGCGTCAACAAGCTTCAAACGGCCCCTCAGGGAGCTCAAACAACATCCATTATGCATTCGCTCTTGTACACCAGGAACTTCCTCCAGCCCATTGATATCCGGTTGTCGAACCCTGTGTCGTCGGGCTCGTCAAAGATGGGCTTGCGCCCGAGGTACTTGACATTGCCTGGATATGTCCTGTATGTCCTGGATAGGATATCTTTTCTTTTTGTCGGATCGCATTATACCTGCGTTTTGTCTGAATGCAGTTCCAACTCCCTGCCGCCAGAAACCGCAACGAGGTCGCCGAGCTTTTCCGTGAACTTGCATAAGACGACGCAACCAACAATACGTCCTCGGCAAAACGTAGTTGGATAGGAAGATGCACTCTGCGAAAACGACTGACTGATAATCCAAAACTCGACTGCGACTATTTCCCCCTTCACCTCCCGGAACGCGCCTACCAGGACGGCGTTGAGAATCGACCAACTCAGAGGATCACCTTGCTTGGTTCCCCGACGTAAAAAAAAGTGTGCTCCTCCTGTCTGCACGAAAACAACCACTTGGGTCTGCGTGTAGATGCGATAGCAGGTTCACGTCAGCGTCGGACACGCCCTTCCTTTAAAGCGCCTTCCATCTCCAATTGTGCTCCACACTGCAGAAAGTATTCTTAAAGTCGAGCGCCGCAAATCACACTCGGTGTTTCCGTTCCTTTGCTTGCTACTGTATCTGAGTTGCTGCCCAGGAAATGGTCTACCACCTTGTAATCCCTTCGAAAGCCGGCTTGGTCATTCGCTCGTTCCTGGTTTAGAATCTTCTCCAGTCGCTGGGCAAAGACTCGAGTTAGAAAGGATCGGTATGATTACCAGCGGCCTGTAATTTGACTGTACTTTTGCGTCGCCAGCTTTGAATATCGTTTTCACAAGATTGTCCTTCCACTTTGCTGGGGCCTTCTTCGGATCTTCCAGAATACTACTGTGCGCAACCAACAACACATGCTCCAAAAACCTTCCACCTGCTTTGACAACCTCTGAAATTAGGCACGGTCGAATTGTCGAACTGCCTCCTGGAGCTCGTCCTCTGTGAAAAGCTCGACCGCCGTCACGTCCCACGCAACAGGTATGTCTGTCTCGCCTCCGAATGCATGCCAGGACGCATATAAATACGAATAGAAATCAGAGAATACAATAGCTATGAGTTGTCTCTGTGTGCTTCATCCCAGCCGGATCCACCATTGATGCAAACGAGTTTGCCTCTTTGCTTGATGTTTGCGATTCTTCCCGATCCTCCCCCAGAACGTAATACTTCTGATACGCGTTCCTGGCATTCCAAGCGGTGCAACTTGCGGATGTCCCTCTTGATGGTTTTGCTTATTTGCGAACGTGTACACCAACGATGCGGAATGTTTGGCTGTAATGCACCTACACATCCGTGGCCGACTGGAAAGACTCCTTCCTATACACATCCGCTACGGATTGTGTGAAATCCGGTGCGGATCCACGGCGGACTGTATAGGATCCTTCACAAAGCAGGCGTGGACTGCATAGATTCGTACACACATCCGCTACGGTTTGACTTAAATCATACACAGCCCACTGCAGATTGTATAAGATCCGATTCAAATCCGCTGCGGATGGGATGGATTCCTTTACACAGCCGCAATCAAATGTAGAAGCTGCTATACATGTCAGCTGCGGTATATATGGGATCAGATACAAATCCGCTGCGGACTGGAAAAACTCCTATACATATTCGATGCGGCCTGTATACGGCCCGATACAGATCCGCTACGGACCGTGTGGGATCGTATACAAACCCGATACGGACTGTAGACTCCAGTACACATCCACTACGGACGACATAGTTCCTACAAACATCCGTTACGGACTGTATAGGGTATTATACAGACCAGCTGCGAACTACACAAAATTTACATACATATCCGCTACGGACTGTACGGGATCCGACTCATCCGCTACGGAGTAAGCAGAATCCTACACACACATCCGATACGGACTGTTCATAATATCATACAGATCCGCTGCGGAATGTATAGGATCCGATGCACACGCGCGACGGACTGTACAGACTCCTTCCAGACTGCCTCCAGATGACTCCAAGACGGCTCCAAGATCGCCCAATAGTGCCCCTAGCAGGGCCCAAGAGGGTTCCAGGACAGCCCAAAAACAGAGCCCAAGGCGGCCTTCTCAGTCTCCGACGACGGACGCAATCTGTGCCCCCCTAGTTCTTTGATCGACTGCATTTTGAGGTTGGGACTCCTCAGGAAACATCCGGAAAACTGACACGTCATCAAGTATCCTTAGGACCCCCCTGACTCCAGGTGGGTCCTCGGGAATCCGTAGGAATACTTGAACATCCCGAGACATCCCTGAACGTCCCCGGGAACCCCTGGGCACCCTCTGGAATCCTCGCACCCTGAGGCACCCTGGGGCACCCTGGGGCACCCTGAAGAACCCACATAATCCTCAAAAACAGTCAGGACTGTCGGGCGGGTGGGAATGGGGGGTGACCCAATTGGGGGGGGAAGAAAAGGACCCTGAAGGGCACCTTTAGGGCCCCTTGTGGAGCCAGCTGGTGCCCACAAGGGGCTCTAAAGGGCCCCTTTGTGGCCCCTCGCGGTGACCCTCTTGTGGTCTCCGCTCGCCTACTGGATCTGGCAGAGGCGCTGTTGCTCAGAGAGACGGGAGCGGACCACTGCAGATGGCGACCGCGGTGAGGAGGCGAGAAACCACAGAGCGATCCTCATAAGCCAAGAGATCCGCCAGGTAAAAGTGGGGTCCTGCGAACGTGGCCGAAATTCTGGCCGCGGACCAGGGCAGAGGAGGAGAGGCGAGAGGAGGGAGAGAGGGAGGACGGGGAGGAGGCAATTCAGCGAAGGACTCAAAATACTCGCACGTACGTAAACCGGTCGAGTGCACCGCCTTGGCTCGTTGTCGCTCCCTACGCTGCTCCTTCGAAGTCCTCCCGTTCATCATCCCTCATGCTACATCCTACTCTTCCCTCTCCCAAACCTTCCTTCTTCCTTTTGCCAGCGAGGAAAAAGATCGAAGAGGATCGAGGAAGAGCGAGAAGGACCAAGGAGAAGGATCGAAAATCGATGAGGAGGAGATGCGAGAAGGATCGAGGAGGAGGATCGAGGAGGGGTACGCAGAAGGATCCCAGACCACCAACATCGCGAACTCTTAGCATTGTGGACCCCTGAGGGTCTGGACGTGTTCCCCAGGGCCAGCTTTTCGAACCGATATTTGCCGGTCCTCGGGCCTGATCAGGGTCCCCAAAGGCCGAAAATTACCACCAAAAAAAACTTCAGTCGTGTTTTTTTCAGGCCGCGAGGGGTCGAGGAGGATCGACGACGAGATCTGCTGGTCGAGGAGAATCGACGAGGAGGATCGACGACGATCGAGGAGGATCGAGGAGGATCGACGACGATGATGGTCGAGGAGATCTGCTGGTCGAGGAGGATCGACGACGATCGAGGAGGATCGACGAGATCTGCTGGTCGAGGAGAATCGAGGAGGATCGAGGTGATCTCGGGGAGGATCCAGGAGGAGAAGGACCGAAGAAAGGCACGTAATCGAGGAGGATCGAGGAGGATCGAGGCGGATCGAGGCGGATCGAGGTGATATCGGGGAGAAGGACCGAAGAAAGGCACGTAATTAGAAGGATCGAGGATTAGGAGGATCGAGGAGGATCGAAGAAAGGCACGTGATTAGAAGGATCGAGGTGATATCGGGGAGAAGGACCGAAGAAAGGCACGTAATTAGGAGGATCGAGGAGGATCGAGGCGGATCTTGGCATGAAAAAAAAAAAGGTCCCGGCAGAAGCAGATCCTGGGCCCCGGAGCCTCTCCCGAAGACCACTTAGCAATCCCGAAAAATGTTTTGACTGTCCCGAGGCCCAACTGGCCATCGCTCGGACGTCCATTCCCTGTGTTTTTTTCGGCTTCGTGCGTGGTTTTTTCGCCGAATGATCAAGGATGCTCCTCGATGGTCCTCGCCGAAGGAAAAATGCACACGTCCGAGCGATGCCAAGCCAAGGAAAGCCCCCCAGAAGCCGGAAAACAGCCACAAACCTCAGGACCCGACCCCTTTCCTTCTCACGGCTCTACGATATCGCCACTCGTTCGACATCGGCCGGCTCCAGGCCGCTGGCGGCATTCAACCATGAACGCCCGCGCTGAGGCCGTCGCCGCGTCGACATGGAACGAAGCTACCGCACACAGGAAGATCAAGGAGGATCGGGGCGGATTCTGGCAGTGCGCACAACGGGGTGGCGCAAGGTGGGCGGCCTTCCTCAGAAGGCGGGGAAAGTTCGAAGAAGGCAGGGGCCTTCTTTGAAGCCCTTCCGGCTTCCAAGAAGTCTTTCTACACCCTGCGAAATGCTTAAGAAATCATGGGTTAAGAAACTCAGAGTCTCAGAACTTGAATAAAAACCCAGAACTTCTATCAAAATCTTAGGATTTACATTGAAAGATTAAGAGTAATCGAGACTCTCGCCGAAAACTTAAGTTTTCTTAAGCATCGCCTAGGGTGTAGAGGCCTCCCAGCCGCCCCCCTCGCGCCACCCCTTGCGCACGCCGCCGAAGATCGTCGAGCAGCTGAATCTGAAGCCAGCAGGTCTCCTCCGCGGCCCGCTCCGCCGCGCGCAGCAGCGACGCGGCTCCCGCGTCGCTGAGGCCGCGCGAGCGCTCCAAAGCCACGCGCGGTCTCGCCGCCGAGGGGTAGCCTCCGCCAATCGGACGACGACGACGACGGGGACGGCGACGGCGACGGCGACGGCGACGGCGACGATGACGACGGACTGTTCGATGTTGGTTGATTCCAGCCCTCTGGCGGCGCTTAACCCTGAACGCCCGCGCTGGGGCAGGACAAGTCTGCATCGAATCGGGAAATCGGATCGAATGGGAGTCGAATAGGGTCGAGCCGGCCAGGACCGATACCGAACCAGATCGGTCGGATCGGAAGGAGGAGGAGGAGGTTCCCGCCGTCGCACGTGGGCACCGCGGTACCTCGCACGCGGCTGCGGAGCCAAAGGAGAACGGTGAGGAGGATGAGCACGAGCAGGAGGAGGAGGAGGAGGAGGGAGACGAGGAGGAGGAGGAATGGCCACTGAGGGGGTCGCCGCCGCGTCACCGCGGCGCGCACCTACCGTACGCGCCTACACGCTGGTCGGCGCCGCGCGCGGACACCAGCAATCCTCGCAAGGCTCGGACGGCCCATGGACAGCCCCGCCACCCCCAGAGGTTGACTCCCGAACCACAGGAGTGACCCACAGGAAGCCCTACTGTCGGAAACGTTTGCTTAGCGTGTCGCGGCGGCGGCACTGGCGACACGCTTCGGCAGCCATTCGACGCGCAGGCACAGATATGCGCGAATTGCTCACTTCGGGGCTAAACTCGTACAGGACATACGGGGTCGAAGTGGCTGGACTGGACGGACGCGAGCTGCGGGACCTCCAGTCGGCATACCGGTCCATGGTCGGCTCTCGCGGGGACTCCCAGTCACTGCTCACGGTCCATTACCCTGGCGCTACATTTAAGTCGGGCGTGTCCCCCTACAGGGGGATTTTTAACGAAAATTAAAAAATACCCCCCAAGAAACCCAAAAAGGTCAAAAATACTCCAAAAATAATCCACAGACTATTTTTGGACTATTTTTTGATTATTTTTGGGGTATTTATTATTTTTCGTCGAAAATCCCCCTGTAGGGGACCAGGCCCGACTTAACGCTACATGACGACCCTACCTGGAGGCAAGGCCTCGCGCCCGCGCTGACGAGGGCCAAGACGGCGTGGCGCGCGCCCGCGGTTGCGGGCCCCGTCGAGCCACCCGACTATCCCCCTGTGATGGTGCAGCTCGCCGAGCCGATCCTCGGGGCCCCGCCGAGGCACTGCGGCCGCGTGCAAGGCCCGCTCGCCACAGCCGTGCCTCCTCTGCAGCGAGCCAGGTGGTCGTTCCAGGCGCCCCTCGTCCTTTTCGGGGCGAGTCGCGTGGAGGCGTTGGCCACCCACGGCCTGCTCCCCCGAGCTCATGGAACCGAAGATGCGGGAGGCGTGGCAGGAGGCACGCCTCACCACAGTGGCAGCGAATGACCACGAAAAAACACATCCCCAATCCCAAAGTCGCGGATTCGCCGAGGATTCGAAGATCGGCCAAAGATTTCGGGGTATGTTTTGCGTTCGCCGTCGTCACCCTGGTAAAACCCTACCCCAAAATCTCCCTCCCCGAAGTCTCGAGGTGTCTGCGTTTTGTCTTGGCCCCCGCGTTTTTGGGCTTGGGCGTCTGTTTTGAGTTAGTGAGCGAAGCTGGGCATAGACCAGGGCTCACGGGTCGACAAGACAGTGGCGAAGCAAACTGTCAAAAAAGAGGCCTGCAGTGCCAGAAAGCCGGCATACTCCGTTCCATATTGTGCCAAGCCATCTGGAAGGTCGAGAAGCTCAAAAGGGCTGGATATCTGGCCGACCCCCAGTGCGGCTGCGGACACAAGTCGGACAGCTTGTCCCGCGTCTACCGCTGCCCGCTGACGGAAGCGTTGCGCAAGCAATGGATGAAGCCTGACTCGGGAGCGGCCAAGAGGGGGGTGTCCAAGAGGAGGGGGTGCAAATCATGACCGGCGGCATGTGCGCGGCCCAGCGGGGGGGCCAGGGCGGCGCCATGAAATCTGGGGAAATATCATGGCCCACGCCATGATGTCCACCCCCCTGGTCGTCACCCCCCTCTCTGCCGCCCCCGAGCCTGACGACGCGTTCATCTTGAGCGATGCCCTCCAGAACTTCCCTTTGGTCTGCAGATTCTCCATGAACACGCCGGGCACTCGTGAAGGGGCCTTGGGACACACAAATAGATACACACAAATAACAGGATTCCCCACATTTTCCCATACTTTCTGGGCTTCTGTCTTCCCCCCCCCACCTTCCATATTTTCCCGTATTCTCCTGGGGATCGGCGACTAATTGTGTCTGTGTGTTCTTTTTTCCTCCTGAACTCGGTGAACCCCCCCTTCTGGATCGGGCGCGCGCGCGCCTGCCACTGCTGGTGCGGCGGCCCCCGGGCCGGGCGCCTGCCGATGTGCTGGAGGGGAAGTTGCTCACAGACGGCTCGTGCCTCGGGGACGGGCCGCCAGAGCTGAGGGGGAGCTGGGACACACAGATCAACAGACACAAATAGCCAGACTCCCCAGATGTTCCCCTACGTTCTGGGTTCTTGCCTTCCCCCCCGCTTCCCATCTTTCCCCATGTGTTCTGGGGAATCGACGATTCATTGTGTCGGTGTGCTTTCTTTCCCTCCTGAAGAGTTCCACGTTGCAGGGTGGGCAGCCATCAAGGTGTCGGCCACAGGCGAGCTAGTTGCGGCTTCGTGGGGCTCGGTGAGCAACCCGTACCCTGAAGTCGGGCGTGTCCCCCTACAGGGGGATTTTCGACGAGAAATGAAAAAATACCCCAAAAATACTCCAAAATGGTCAAAAAATGCTCAAAAAATAGTCCCCAGACTATTTTCTAACTATTTTTGAATATTCCTCCTGTAGAGGGACAGGCCCGACTTCAAGCTCGTTGCGGCCTTGTGGGGCTCGGTGAGCAGCCAGCACCCGCAGACGCCGCCCGCCGCCAAGCACGCGGCAACTCTGGCAGCAGCAGAGCACTGCCCCAGAACCACGAGCGAGCGGTCGGACTTCCTGGGCGTCGTCCATCTTAAGGGGACGCCCCGTGGTCCCGGGTGGCTTCGCGGCACCACATCTACGAGGGCATGCGAATTCGGATTCGGAGTTCGCCCACCTGGACCTTGGATTTCTCGATTGAACAGGTTGCCGCCCACGCTGATCCAGACGGCCTCGAGAGCTTCTCGAGGGATTGGGTCCTGGCCAAAGGCAGCGACTTCGCGGACCGGTGTGCCAAGCGCGAAGCAGCCCTATTTTCCCAACCATCCCAGTCGGAAAGGCAATCTTATCATGCTGATTCAGACACGCTGCGGCGGTACCTCAACTACATATCCCAGGTCCTCCTTGTGTACCCGCGGCAGGCGCCCACCAATAAACAGCGGTCCGCGTTTCGGAAGACCGACCGCGAGGCCGGCTTCAGGTCGGGAGCGTCGGCCAGGGACGCCTTGTCAGTACCGCCCGCCGATTCTATGGCTGCGGGGCTCAAGTGTGACAACAAAAACTCAAGTGTGATATAAAAAACTCGTGCAGATCATGTGCAATCACGAGCTGCAGTGGCAACGAGGCTCGGCCCCAGTGTTGTATCACACGCAAGTCTTGGTAATCTCACTTGAGCAGTTCTTTACCACACTTGAGTTTTTATCACACTTGGGCCGAACATCGCTGCCTCCAGGGCTGGGCCGCGGGCGCGACGGGCTCGCGGTGGCCCACTGCTGCCGCCCCTGCCACCGCTGGCGGCCGCAGGAGCCACAGCAGGCGGCGTGCTGCAGCCTGCGTCATCCGTCACGCAGGCGCCCGCCCCGCAGCTTGAGGGCCGCGCGAGGGCCCACCAGTGGAGGAGGAGGAGGAGGAGGAGGAGGAGGAGGACGACGAGGAGGACGAGGAGGGAGGAGAAAAGGAGGAGGAGGAGCAGGAGGAGGAGGAGGAGGAGGAGGAGGGAGGAGGAGGAGGAGGAGGAGGGAGGGAGGAGGAGGAGGAGGAGGAAGGGTGAGGCCAGGTCTGTGGTCCTGCCGCGTGTGCTACAGGAGGAGCAGGACCGAGACGCCCCCGCAGACAGCGAGGCGCGTCGGGTCCAAGGAAGCATTCGGCGCTACAGGAGCGGGTCCACGCAACCATGCGGCGCGCATAGCTTGCCAGGGCGATGATA